TTATATATTATTTGATATAATAACTTTATAGAAAATTTGAAAATGTTGATTATTACCTAATCTGTTTACACTCAACCTCATCATGTATATTAACATGATTGTACTCGACACAACTTAATTAGTCAATCAAACAAAAATAATTTCATAAGCTTTGTTTTGTTACCATTCACAGAGTGTAGTGTCTAAATCTTCTATATATATATATATATATATATATATATATATATATATATATCATGGTTGCAGTAAGCATTAGGCGCTAGTCGGGCGTCGGGACAGAGCCTAGCGCCTAGGCGGTCTAAGCGGCGCCTAGGCGGAATCTAGGCGGCGCTAGGCGGGTGCCAAAAAAACAGTGGCAGACTTTTAGTTTGACAATTTTAATGAGGCTGTTTTCAACATTCAATCAAATAACACATCCAAATAAATGAAATATTGATAATTCATAAGTCATAACATCAAAACAATATTAAAAATTAAAAATACTCAAATATGAAATACTCAAATAATTCAATCATCCAAAGATTCAAAGTATCAAATTAGTCTGTAGGTGCATATATGGCATATTATATATATGTATGTATATATATGTATATACACACACACGTGCGCGCGCGCACACACACACATATTTATATATATATAATGAAAAAAATTAGCAAGGCCGAGCTGATCAAGTTAACTCGACAGAAATGGACGAGTTAACTCGGCTAAGTTAGACGCTAGGCGGCTGCTTAGGCGGCCAAGTCGGCCGAGTTAGGCGCTAGGCGGGCGCCTAGGGGGAAAATCGCCACGGTCTAGGGGCGCCTAGCGTCTAGGCGCCACAAACATAGCAGTTAAGGCACATCCTGCAAGCGTTGAGGGGGAAGAGAGAGGGCTTCAATTTATATTATGATTGAAAATCATTGTTAAAGAGTGATACTTGAAGCCCTGATTATCAGATTGTTTGTAGTGCAAATTAAAAATAGTCAATGGCATGAAATCTGAACACTAATAATGTTCAAGTGAAATTCTCTTACATGATTAATGTTCTTTCTCATCATTTCAACACCAAACGCTTATTGTATCTATCTTAGCTTTTGACTTGCACCGCCGCGCCACGCCGCGGCACCAGCAATGCAATGCCACGCCATGCTTCGATGTCGACAATGTCTGAAATCATGATCTCATCCATTTGTTGATGAGTTGTAAACCTGTTTAATTTAATGTTAATTGGACTTATATTTATACTTTTTTTTATTATTATTGACTCTATTACCCCACCATCTGAGTTTGATCCTGTGGCATTTTTTAAAGAAAGTATCAAAAGTGTTAACTGAGTACAGTACAAAATGCTTGACTTATATTTATACTTAAGGATTAATCAGGTTAAAAATTTCAACCACTCACCAATAGTACTTCAAAATATTCATTACTTTTTTAAAAAATCTAATCTTTTACTATATTTTTGAATGACCAAAAATTTTTGTTCCTCAATCCAAAATTTTAAATTTTAGTATTCCGTGCAGAATAATACTACATGAACTATAATCTACTTTATTTTTAATTTACTCAAATATCTTGCTTTGATTGAACTAGACAAAGATGTGAGTCACAATATTATTCATTTACTTTTCTTTATTACAAAGGCAAAAATTTTCGTTCGAAGGACTACCACGACATCCGAACCAGACAAAATGGTAGATGTGAAAATTATGGTAACTTAGCGACATTTTAGTTAGATTTGGAAGGACCACTGGATTAGTAAAAGTGTCATAAAGAACCCACTATATTAAGAATAATTTCTACGTCTTTATGTATAATTTACCACCTGAATATCTACTGAGTTATTTATACATATAATTACTCTTTTTTTTTTTTACCTAATAAATCATATACATGTAACAAAAAGGAAAAATAGTCATTTTTCTCCCTGAGTTATATACTTATAGCACTTTTTTCCCTGAATTATTTAAGTGGTTGTTTATCCCACTGAAATGTTAAATGGACACATTTACCCTTAAAATAAATATCTCATTTATTTTTTCTTCTCTAACAAATTATGACCACGATTTGATTTAAACCGAACAATCATTATAGCAACCAAACCGAAATATTGTAATTACAATTTAGAAGCGAAACCCGATATTTAGAGTTTATTAAAATTGAAGCATGTGCTCCATCTCAACTAAAAGCCTAAGTGTGCAATGGGTTCCAAGCAACACGTGAACCATAGTTACTTATAGGTGGCGGTGAGATTCGAACTCTCACGTGGACCGGTAAACCGTAGTCGCTTTCGCTTACAAGTGGCGCTAAAATTTGAACCCATGACCTTTGGTCTGGCTCTGATACCAAATTGAAGCATGTGCTCCATCTCAACTAAAAGCCTAAGCTGATAGTTGGAGCGCACATTAATGGCTCAACAATTAAAATCGCGAACCAGGCCTCTTCATTTTCCGAATTGAAAAAAATAAAATACTATACATTTATTGTTGAATTTAGACTATTTTAAAATAAAAAATAAAATTTTAAAATAAAGACAGTTCAAACCGGATCCAGAACCGCCGATTAACAGTTCAGGATCCAGTTTTTTTGATTCATAATTTTAATAAACTAAAATCCAAATTTGGGGTTCTAATCTGAATCATAACCAGAAACTTTCAATTCGATTGCTATAATGTCCGATTCAGTTTGAATCAAACCGTGATCATCCCTACGTATACGCAATAATTTGTTGGAGAAGAAAATTAAATAAAATGTTTACTAGAAATATCAATTTAATATATTATGGAGAAAAATCGCTACTTTTAAAATAATTAAGAGAACTAATATACTTACATAAATAATTTAAATAGAAAAAGTACTATAAATATATAACCCAAATATCCTTAACAAAAATTATACTCCATACATTTATCACTTTCCTTTCATTTCCAGGAAATTGAGAACAAACTTAGAGCATCTACATCAGTAGATAATAGGAGCATAATGTCAGATTCAATCTCTTGAGTGGGGATAATATCTAGTGTGAAGAAGAGATAATGGTGAGAAGATTTCTCCTGCAAAATTGGGATTAATGTCAGAAAAGAAGAAAAAAAATAAATAATGAACATTGCTGCTGTGCGTGTTCCGCGCACAGCAGCAAGCCCACATGGGCGCGTGCAAAGCACGCGCCCGAGGGCGCGTCAGGCGCGCCAAACGACACGCCTGACACCTCTGTTTTTTTAATTTTTAGTTTTGTTTTTTTTTTTTTTTTTCCTCCCCTTCCCCCTTCTCTTTCCTAATCACTCTTACATTATCCCCCTATTCTCCCCAACCATTGTGGATGCTCTTATATGAGAAGAAAGACCGCCGACTTTGACCAATTTCCGCAGTATGTATGCCTACGTGCAGGATAACGCCGTACATTCCGTTCAGTTTCTTTTGACGCATGTTACGCGGTATGCGTCATCATTATATATGATTCTTGATGTATAATACGTAATGTTCTTCTTTTTTTTTTCTTTTTTTTTTTGGGTACATTTTATTGAAAAGTGAAGATGGGAATGATATTCGAGAAGAAGTAATTTTTCATAAAATCTTCATATTGTTAAAAATAATATTTCTTCTCCCAATATGACAATAAGAGTTTTCCTGAAAATTTAGTATTGCCCTTCGACAAAATATTTTAAAATAAAAAGTATTGTATTAATAAAACTATTAACCAAGACTATGTGGTCTAATGGTACTCGGGTTGAACTTCCATTTGGAAGGTTGTGAGTTTGAGCCTCAGTGGAGGCGTTGGTTCTTTGTGTATATGAACAGATACTACAATGTAATAGAGCCAGTAACATTCAAAAAAAAAAAAGTATTAATAAAACTATTATGTTTTCTTACAAACATTACTACACATCTCGCGTCATTTCTTCCACACCTATGTATTTAATGTGATACTAAATAAAAGAAGCAAAAATCTTTATTTTAATTGAATATCGTGACCAACCTCATTTTGAGGAAAGTCTACAAATTAAAAATACGATAATGACACATCAAATAATAAATACAATGCAATATTATTTTTGAATGACGAGAAAATTTTATAATAATTATTTGATGGTATGTACTATATAAATCTCACTCATGCATAATAGTTCACAAAACACTTTGAAGAGGTAAATCGTGAGCTTGACCGATACGGTGTTAACAAGAATTGAACTCTTGAAATTCAAGTACGAAAATTATGTTCACCCACACTTGGCAACGTATAATTTTTATTTTTATTTTTATTTTTTGGAGTAGATGATGCAACATGACTTTATTCATATAAATGCTTGAAGATGTGATAGGTCCACTAGAACAGAATAATTTGAAACTTTCGTATTCAAATTGGATAAGAAGATCAACATACACTATACATGGAAAACTTTTGGATGGAAGTCCACAATCACAATTTGTAAATGTACACGAGATAAACTCTACTCTTATATGGTAGCCGTGTACAAATTAAACATGAAAGATTAATCACACTAAAAATACTTTATTACGGTTCAACCAAGAAAAATATCAGAAAATTGCAACAAATGTGTTCTATAACTTCCTAATTTGCAAAACATGATCAGAAAAATATTGGAAGATTTGATCATTTCTTCCAATTATTTTCAAGGAAGATCTATCGTAGAAGAAAGCAAACATATATTTATAGTATCTTGACCCGCAAGAAGCAAAATATACAATGCTAACTAATGAAAGTGCTTTGTGTGTAGGAAGAAATATTGTCCAAATTGTATACATAAATTTTTAGATTACTTGTAAAGATGTTGAAGAAAATATTTGAGAATAGTCAAACATCACAGGAAAAAGTACACGACGTCAGCTTTTTTAAAAATAAAAAATAAAAAAATTTCATTTAACGGCTATTATGAAAGTTGGCGGTTATATTATAATACGGAGTGAACACGACGAAGGTAACCCAAAATTTAGCTCAACTGTACTAGAAATTCATACTTGCCGAAAACGCATCCTATTCATCACCGCCTTTCTCAGACGCGGTGAATCGATTTATAAATACATACGAGGAAATCATCATGTTACAAATCGAAACCCATTCATCAATTCTGAAAACTTCCATTAGTGGACAGCTTAGCTTGTCGTTCAAGATTGATATATAGCAATTACAAACATACCTTTCATCCTTTTCTTCTTTTACAGCTTCACGAGAGAAATCTGCAAGCCATTTTTCGCAGCATGGACATTGTTGTCATCGACCTGCCACTGAAAACGGAACTGAGGTTATCAAGCAAGAAAAGATGGCGTCTTGCACTTTCTATGATCAAATGTTTGAATGCATTCCGCCATTATTCTAAACAAAATCACAGTGCCAAGCTCTTCTTCCAAGCTCCATCTTACAGATATCTTCTCAAGAATCCCTCCAGGAAAGTGTCTCCTGAACAATCTGACAGATTTTCCATTGACGTGGATGATGATGAAGAACACCCTCGTTGTTTCCAGGATCTTGATCAGTCAAGCCTTGCAAAGATTGTCAAGGAGAAAAGCCTCGAGCATCTTGCTAATCTTGGTGGAATTGGAGGCCTTTCTTCTTCTCTGGACACTAATTTGGACGACGGAATCTATGGCGACGACCAGGATATTTCGCGTAGAAACCAAGCATTTGGAAGCAACACTTACAGTAAGCCGCCGGCGAAGAATCTCTTCCATTTTGTCTGGGAGGCGTTCAGAGATCCCACCATTATTATCCTCTTGGCATGTGCTGTTTTATCTCTAGCGTTTGGGATCAAAGAGGATGGAATCAAGGAAGGATGGTACGATGGAGGGAGTATATTTGTCGCCGTCTTTCTGGTAATCTCCGTTTCCGCTCTCAGCAATTTCCGGCAGAGCAGACAGTTCGATAAGCTGTCGAAGATCAGTAAGAACATTCTGGTTGAGGTTGTCAGGGCCGGGAGACGGCGGCAGGTTTCCATCTTCGAGATCGTTGTCGGAGATATTGTCTGCTTGAAGATCGGAGATCAAGTCCCGGCGGACGGGTTATTGGTGGAAGGGCACTCGTTGCAAGTCGATGAATCGAGCATGACCGGCGAGAGTGATCACGTAGAGATCAATCATGACCGGAATCCGTTCCTTATTTCCGGGACGAAAGTGGCTGACGGATATGGAAGATTCTTGGTAACTTCTGTCGGCATGAACACCGCCTGGGGCGCCATGATGAGCGAAATCAGCAGCGATTCCGGCAGGTAATTAATATTTTATATATTAAGGTCTTACAAGTGGGTTAACTAGGTTTATGATACTCTATTGAGCATAGCCATTAATCTGCAAATCCCTTTTAATTGAGATAGAGCACATGCTTCAATTTGGTATTAGAGCCAGACCAAAGGTCATGCCCTCGTATTGAGCATCGCCATTGAGCTTTTAGCAAATGCTTCAATTTACTCAATTATGATTGGAGGTACTTCTGCTAATTAAGTTTTTATTCAATTCATGATGTAACAGCGAGGAGACGCCATTGCAGACGAGGTTAAACAAGCTTACATCATCCATAGGAAAGGTTGGTTTAGCGGTGGCATTCCTCGTACTGGTTGTCTTGTTGGTACGATATTTCACGGGACACACTAAGGATGAAAACGGGAACAAAGAGTTCAACGGGAGCAAGACGAAGGCGGATGACGTGATCAATTCCGTGGTGGGAATCATAGCCGCTGCCGTCACCATTGTCGTCGTGGCGATTCCAGAAGGGTTGCCTCTTGCTGTAACTCTTACTCTCGCATATTCCATGAAGAGAATGATGAGTGATCAGGCAATGGTGAGGAAGCTCTCTGCTTGTGAGACAATGGGGTCTGCCACAACAATCTGCACTGATAAAACAGGAACTTTGACTCAGAATAAGATGAAGGTGACAAAGTTCTGGCTGGGAAAAGAGTCCATGGAGGGGAAGAACAGAGCTGAAATTGCTGACAAAGTTCTTGAATTATTCCACCAAGGGGTTGGCCTCAACACAACAGGCAGTGTTTTCAGGTCAGATGATTCGGGTTTGGGTTTCGAGTTCTCGGGGAGTCCAACAGAGAAAGCCATTTTATCCTGGGCTGTTGAGGAGCTTAACATGGATATGGAGGAAGTGAAGAGAAACTACACTGTTCTTCACGTGGAAGCATTCAATTCAGAGAAAAAGAGGAGTGGGGTTTCCATGAAAAAGGCTACAGATAACACAGTTCATGTTCACTGGAAAGGAGCTGCAGAAATGATCCTTGGAATGTGTTCACATTACTATGATCTGGAAGGGAATAAGAAATCTCTGGATAGCAACGAGAGAGTGAAATTCGAGCAAATGATCCAAGGCATGGCTGCCAGCAGCCTCAGATGCATAGCCTTTGCACACAAACAAGTCACAGAAACACAAATTTCAGTTCCAGAAGATAGCCTAACTCTTCTAGGACTAGTAGGCCTCAAAGATCCCTGCAGAGATGGTGTGAAGAAAGCCGTTGAATCCTGCCAATTCGCGGGGGTGAACATCAAGATGATAACCGGAGATAACATCTTCACAGCAAAGGCAATAGCCACAGAATGTGGCATTCTGCATCCTAACCAGGCACCCGAAGAAGGATCAGTCATAGAAGGGCTCGAGTTCAGAAACCTAACAGAAGCACAACAAATGGCACGAGTAGAAACCATCCGTGTAATGGCAAGATCCTCGCCTTTCGACAAACTCCTAATGGTGCAGTGCCTGAAGAAAAAAGGCCATGTAGTTGCAGTCACAGGAGATGGCACGAACGACGCCCCAGCTCTAAAAGAAGCAGACATAGGACTCTCCATGGGGATTCAGGGCACAGAAGTGGCTAAAGAGAGCTCAGACATTGTCATCCTAGACGACAACTTTGCTTCTGTAGCCACAGTCTTGATGTGGGGAAGATGCGTCTACAATAACATCCAGAAATTCATCCAGTTTCAGCTCACAGTAAACGTGGCAGCCCTCGTGATCAACTTCGTGGCAGCAGTGTCTGCAGGAGAAGTCCCCCTCTCAGCAGTGCAGCTTCTCTGGGTCAATCTCATCATGGACACCTTAGGAGCATTAGCCCTCGCCACCGAAAAACCATCAAAAGAGCTCATGGACAGGGCACCCGTGGGGAGAACCGAGCCACTGATCACCAACATAATGTGGAGGAACCTCCTAGCCCAGGCCCTATACCAGATATCCATCCTGCTTGTCCTGCAATTCAGAGGGGAATCAATCTTCGGGGTGAGCAAGGGGGTGAATGACACGCTGATCTTCAACACGTTCGTCCTTTGCCAAGTGTTCAACGAGTTCAACGCGAGGAAGCTCGAGAAGAGGAATGTTTTCCAAGGGATACACAAGAATAAGCTGTTTGTGGGGATTATCTGCATAACAGTTGTGCTTCAGGTGGTTATGGTGGAGTTTCTGAAGAAATTTGCTGACACAGAGAGATTAAACTGGGGACAATGGGGATTGTGTTTGGGATTAGCAGCTGCATCTTGGCCTATTGGTTGGGTTGTGAAATGCTTGCCAGTTCCAGAGAGACCAATCTTCAGTTACCTCAAATTGAAGAAATTCATGTAAATATCATTGTCATTTTATATTCTGTAATCTTTCGCAGCGGGGGATTTGATCTCCCTCTTCTGCCCATACTAGTATTTTTTTATTCTGTTATTGCATTGTATATTGGTATGTAATTGATATGATGACATTAATTCTTTTATTGGTTTAAGTATATGATTCTTCTTTAATTGGTGCATATTTGTGTTCTGTTTAAGAATTTGCCTTCCGCATTGTATATAACAGTTTGTGGTTCAAATTGACCAACTATACAAGAAAATATAATTAGGTCACTTAACTTTAAAAAAAGTGTAATTAACCCCTCAACAAATTAAAAACATGCAATTAGACTAATAACAAAATTTTCAAATTACCAATGTGTCATCTTATTATTATAACTGGTTATGTGTGATTTTATTATTATTATTATTACTGGATTCTAAAACTTTTTGAAGTTATTTTGGAGACGAACATGGAGCAAAGATTGGCTAAAGTATTTACCTTTAATATATTAAAAATGTATTTTTTATTTATGATCCACACAATTGTGTGGACCATGGTCCAATAATGATTATGACGAAAAATGATTGGTCACGAAAGGATTTGTGAGATGAGAGCAAATCACTCTTCACATGGGGGTTTCCTAGCAGGCAAATTATGCCCTAGAAACGTGTTCAACGTGAATAGTGAACACAAGTCCAAATAACGTCGTTTTTAGGCACAAAAAAAAAAAAAAAAAAAAAAATCGCGGATGAGGAATTAACGGCGCGCGTTTTTGATCAAATTATGAATTTTCTGTTATGAGATTATGAATGTAATGTAAATTCATAATCGCATAAAAGTAAAATATTTATTAAATTATGAATTTTCTGTTATGAGATTATGAATTTTCTGTTATGAGATTATGAATGTAATGTAAATTCATAATCTCATAACAGAAAATTCATAATCTCATAACTGAAAATTCATAATCTTATGACAGAAAATTCATAATCTCATGGTTCCAAAGTGAATGTGTAGGCATGGTTCCAAAGTGAATGTGCAAGCATGGATTCATAATTTATGAATGTCCGTGATTTCGGACGGAAATGTGTAGGCATGGTTCCAAAGTGAATGTGCAGGCATGAATTCATAATTTATGAATGTCTGAAATCATTGCTCACCTCAAATTAAAATGAAACCGCAAAATATGAAAATAAAGAAGAAAAGTCACGCAATTTAAAAAAAAAAAAAAAAAAAAAAAAAAAAAAAAAAAAACAATGTACTAAAACCGTTGGAACCGTATTTCCCATGAATGGTGAACACGGTTCCATGGCATAACGATTGTTCCTAGCATCTATCGATCGAGTAGTGAAAAGTTTTAGTCAACTTAGCCAATATTATGTTTCAATATATCGCTTTCAATTGCCACTGTTACCTTATAAAAAAACAAAAAAAAAAAAAAAAAAAAAAAAAAAACATAAAGTTTTGTCATTGGTACGTTGAAGTGTGGAACACTGCGGGCCACCTAAGTGGCATTTATATATATATATATATATATATATATATATATATATATATACACACATTATATAAGAAAACATTTAATAAATTATGAATTTTCTATTACAGTAAATTCATAATCTCATAACAGAAAATTCATAACCTCATACCAGAAAATTCATAATTTCATAACAGAAAATTCATAATCTCATAACAAAAAATTTATAATTTCATAATTGCACATTCATAAATCCATGCATACACATTCATAATTTACGAATGTTGAAGGAACTTGCGCGGAGAAGAAGTGAAACCGCGAAATGTGAAAATAAAGAAGAAAAGTCACGCGATTTATTAATAAAAAATAAAAAATAACGGTGTACCGTTACTGTTGGGACCGTGTTCACCATGGGTGGCGGAAGGCCTTCTTAAATTTTTTTTTTTTTTTTTTTTTTTGGAAGGGACCGTACTTAGCGTTCCTAAAAAAAAAAATTCAAAGGGACCTAAAAAAGTTTTAAAAGGGGACCTAAAATATTTTTAAAAGGGGACCGTACTTAGCGTTCCTAAATTTTTTAATTTTTTTTTTTGAAAGGGACGTTGACTTTCCTAGGGTCACTCAACTCGACTATAATAAACATGGGTCAAATTATACTAAAAGGTTGAACACAATCAATTACTTAGTCTAATTCATAGTCTTATGAACTTATATATTTTCTTTTATTGATCAATGTGGGACTCCTAACAGTTGGTTAAAAAAAAAATGGAATATGTTTTTAAAAGACATATATACACTTATACAGAATATATAATCATATTAATAATAATAACAACAACAACAATAATAACAATAATAATGATCAAATATGTATCTAAGTAGAGGTTCTTTGCATATACTGGTGTGGCCGAGACTCTTGAGGATATAATTAAAAAGACCATTGTATAAATCAGTCATCTTTGTGCCTACTGTTGGAATGTCTGTAAAATACATGCAAACTAAAACTAATCAGTAGACAATTGGTTGATTTGCTGGACAATACGATGAACTAATCCAAAAGCTAATAAAAATTGGACAGCAATCTAATTATCCGGGCAAAATTGCTATTACTAAGAAGATAATTTATTTGAGAAGGAAAGAGCTGACAAATTCGATAGCAAACCTGTCCTAATCTCTCTTCCCTTTTGGTTATCTCCATCTATAGGTGGTGGGTTTAACTAAGAGCATCTACATCAGATGAGAAATAGGGGAGAATTCACTACTTTTGAGGCCAAAATGCCATGGTGGCAGAGAGAGAATCAAGAGAGAGAAGGGGTGGGGAGCATCTGCAAATGTTGGGATATTACTCTGCCTAAGAAAAATAATTAATGATGAAGGATAAAAAACCAATAGAGAAATGACATGCTTATTTTTTATATATTTTTTTTTTATAAAATCAGTTTTGATATTTTTTTTCCCTCCCCTCCCACATTATTCTCTTTCCTACTCACTCTTACATTCTCCCCCTAATAACCTCAACTGATAAGGATGCTCTAATGAATGAAGATGGTGGAAAAAGGCACAGAGTTGAAAAGAAAGAGAGAGCTCGTAGGGAAGAAAGAAAGAAATGAGTTGAAATTGTTCTAGAGAAGCCAAAAAGGTAGCTTGGAAAAGCGTGCTCTGCCATCAACTTTAAAAGTTGAGAAATATTATATTATATGGCAAACTTGTAATTTGTTTACAAATTGAGGGCAATTGAAAAAAAAAATTAATCTAAATATTTTATCAAAAAATCTAAACCACAAGATTTTAGATCAAGGGTTGGTAGAGGTGCCATTTTTGAGGGGTAGTTGGCAAACTCACAAATATAAGTATAGGGGGATTTTTGTGTCTTATGTTGTGAAATTTTGTGTTTATGAATATAAATTATATATTTGTATGTTTGGGTAATTGTGACTGTCTACTAATTGACAACCGTTATTGTGATGCACTAAAAAAAAAAAAAGCATTGTGCCAAAATGGAAATAACATAGTGCTGGCCACCTTTAAAAAAAAAACATATTCTTTTTCCTAAGGAGGAGAAGGATATTCAGTAGTTATCTGACACACAAAATCCAAGTAAGCTGAGCTCATTTTCTCCGGGGGGGGGGGAGGGGGGGGGGGAGAGGGGCTCTCAAACCAATATGCAGGGCCGGTTCTGTGCATGTCTAACATGTGCGACCGCACAGGGCTTCCAATTTTTGGGGGCTCCATTTTTTTTTTTAAAAAAAATTATATGTATATATAGTATACAGAATTTTAGACTAAGTGCAAGAAGATTGGAACAATTTGTGATAAGGCGAAATTGAGCCCAATTGGCAATTGCTTTTAAAAACTCAAAAAAAAAAAAGTCCTAATCCTTTATTCCTTTCTCTACTTTTTGCGATTCCCAATTCCAAAATCTCTTTTGACAAGTACCATTAATTAAGATTGTCAATTCCCAATTCAAAATCTCAAATAACAATTAATTAAGCATCTTCGACCGGAATCTTCTACTAATTAGCAGTTACCATTATTATTATTTTTTTAAATTCAATTCCCAAATATCAATTAACAGCTCTTAAGAGAGGTTAACAGTGTAGTGATATTGATGGAAATGAATTGTATATTGAGTTAAAATTTCTTAGAGATATATTATCGAAAAAAATGATAGGGGCAGTGATAGATGAGTTGTTTTCCAAATGTTACTATTGCATATCGAATATTATTGACTATCCAATTACTGTTGCCTCTGCAGAAAGGAGTTTTTGAAAGTTGAAATTGTTGAAATCTTAATTATGATCGAGTGTGTTACAAGAGAGACTCAATGGAATAGCTTTAATCTCGATTGAAAATGAATTTTTGGAAGAAGTTGATATCAAAAGTTTGATAGACAATTTTGCGTCTAAATGTATACATCGCATGTCACTTTTTAAATAAAATTTTGGATGTATTTTTTATACAATATTTATATTTTGATACAATTTTTTGAACAACTATTATTTATATATATAAATTACTTAAAAAGATGGTCTCAAATTAAATTACTTAAAAAGATGGTCTCAAATTAAAGTATTGCACAGGATCTCAATTTTTATTGGAACACGGGCAATATATCAGCTGACATCTACAACCAATATGCTCGGATAGGCATTATGTTAGCCGCTCTATTTTGTCAAAAAAGGGTAAAATTTATTGTTGACCCGTATGAGTCAAAGTTGAACATGTCTCATCTAATTGAAGCGTGGATTGATTTCATTATAAGATAAAAAGGATATATTATGATATTATGGAGTAAAATTTTTAGAATTCACTCTTCATTTCTTCTCTGTATCGCTGCTAGTCTGCTACTGCCGTAGTTTGGAAAGCAAATAAATTTTGGCCGGTGTGTCCAGACCTTTTTTATTTTCTACTTACTGATTACTACGGTATGTTTTTATTTTGAATTTCAATATTTATTTTATATTTTGTCCATTGTAGAAGTATAGCTGAAGTTTAATTGCCTAATGGTGAACTTTGAGTAGGATTTGTGGTGCGAAATTTTGCTCCTAAGCAACCCTTTCACCCTCTGGCTCTTTCTCTACGTCTTCCGTCTAGTCGATAGCTTCTTGTCCTCTTGGGCCTTGTGTTTTCCGATTTCGAAATCTTAGCTGGCCTCATTTTCTCCACCGTATTCAATTCGCCCTTTTCCTAACCAGCGTGCAGTGGGATCCCTTCTGATCTCCTCATTGCTTGTGAGTTGTGAGCGTTGCAATCATTCAGTTTTCTATGTCTCTGAAGATTCTACTTCGATGAACAACAAGCTTGTATAATCTCTTTGTTGATTGGCGCAACTACAAATGTTGCTTGAATTGGGTTTGATGTGGAATCCACAAATTCAATGCTGGGTTTTTTGGGGTAAATTTTAAGCTAAGGCTGCTTGAGAAAGAGCTGAAACAAGAGGCAGGATACTTAAAATTCCTTTTGGGCTCAACTCGAAATTCCAGACTTAGAAAGCGGCCCGGACCATATTTTAAAATATTAAAATTAAGTACTTTACAAAATAAAATATTAAAATTAATAATTTTGATTTTAAATTATACGGAGTAAATTATAATATATTACATATTTTAACTTACAATAGTGGTCCAATGGTATCAAGTTACTTCAAAGGAGGTTGTGGGTTTGAGTTCCCGTGAATACCATATTTCATAATTATTAAACTTTATATTCACAATTATATAACATTACTTTCATAATTACTAAATTATATGTTTATAATTATAAAGCTATATATTCATAATTTTTTAACTTCATATTTACAATTATTGAATCTCTATATTTATAATTATATAACTATATTTTTATAATTATGTTCACAATTCTATATTCATAATTTTTTAACTATATATTTATAATTATGAACAATTTTGAAATTGTGTTCACCTTGCAAGATGGACACGGTTCCAGCATAATTTGCCAGTCACGCACAATACCTTATATAGGTCATTCTAACATAGTCCAGTGCTATTATACACGCCTACGCCGGCCCATGTGGTATCCCAATAGTTATACCGTGAACCCTAATCCAAAAGAATAATGTTTCATTTTACAAAAATCACCCCAAATGTTTTTTGAATATTGAACTTTATGTTTGTAAACATATTAGTTTATGAGTATATAATATCTAATTTCTAAAGATTAAAATTTAAGTTTATGAACATGTAGCAATGGAAATATTGCAATAGCTAGTTTATAAACATTTATTATCTAATTTCTAAACATTAACCTTTTAATTTCTAAATATATAAAAAAATTAATGCCACATAAATGAAAAAAAAAAAAAGACAAAATAACGTCGTTTTGAATCAAGATTCATCTTGTAATATAAATCGTAGTCCATGTTATAATTTGTGGGTAGTACCCATGATGGTCCACATGGGCCGGGCCAAGCCCATATTGCCATAACAAGTGGGCTATGAGGCTTATCAATGTTATCATATATTTTGCTTAAATTTTGAGCTTTGTTGTATTATCTAATATCTAATTTTATATTGTTTGTTGTTTGAGTAACAATACTTTTTATGTTTTAATTTTTTTTTTTTTTTAAAGAAACACCATTCAAAAAAATATAGAAATATAAAATATAATAAAAAATTAAAAAAAAAAAAAAGATGGTTAGACATGGGCTTTGGTATTTTTTGGACTGGTCCGGAGTCCGGAGAATGTATATTATTGGGCTGCAATTACTTATAGCAAGCTTGGTTAATTATGATAGAATAGAATAAGAATTCTATTTCATTGAAAATAGAATGTACTATTGGGCTGCAATTCCCTTTTTTGTGGAACGTTATTCATATGCAATCGTTATATCCTACACCACGGCGCACATAGCACTGTGCGCCGCGCGCCTCCCAAAACGACGTCGTTTTGGGGTAATATTGGGAGGCGCGGTAGGAAGTTGCTGAGATTATGTGTATTTGTTCACAATATTATGTGTATTTGTTCACAACGTTATGTGTATTGGTTCATACAGTTATGTGTATTTTTTATACAATTATGTACATTCTTTTTATACAATTATGTACATCCGAATCAGAAAATTTGTGTGTATTATGTTAAGAGTTGATGTGTATTATGTTAAAAGTTTATGTTTATTATGTATTATGTTAGATTATGTGTATTATCTTTTAAAAAGAGTATGTATATTTTGTTATATAATTATGTACATTCATGTATAACATTATGTGTATTCTAGTATAACATTATGTACATTCTTGAACAGCGGGTTTTTTTTTTAAAGAAAAAACTACTGCCATTCACTGGGGCGGGAAATTTCAAAAAAAAAAATTAATTAAAACGACGTCGTTTTGCATCTGGGCGCATAGTGCAACGCGCGCCGTGGTGTAGGATATAAATTGTCATTCATATGTCCTCCTTAATGAATTGCAATTCAGCAGGAAAGAAAAAATGAAAAATTATTATTTGGATTCGGTGATATAAAAATACATAATTTATATACTGAATGTTTATAATTTATATATTGAATGTTCACAATTTTACATACTAAATATTGATAATGAAATTGTGAACCGTCAATATGTAAATTGTAAACATTCAATTCAATATATAAATTGTGTATTTAAACCGAGGTCCACCTTACAAGACATACTCGGGTCCGTGGTATAACTACTGAGGAAAAATAGATGAAAATGTCAAAATTATCTTTTATTATTATTATTATTATTATTATTATTATTATTATTATTATATGATGCCCTTATTTTTTGGCAAATTATTGTGTGGACTATGGTCCAAATAGTGCTGTATGGACCCTAAAAAGTATATTTTTAACATACTAAAAATACATTATTGTTGTACTAAATATACCTTATTTTATAACATACAAAATATGGTCCACACAATAATGATTGTAAGTCCGGACAATGTATTATTGGGCATTTGCGCTACAATTACTTTTAGCAAGCTTGGTTAATTATGATAGAAGCTGTAAAGCCTGTAATTATATCAAAATGGTTATGTAGTTTTGTTTTAATAAAACTATAGTGCATATAACATAAAATAAAATAACATTTTCACATATTTGAGTCTATAAATATCGAATGAAACTATAGTTATATAGCGAAATTAAACTGTAATTGTGTTGAACTGAAACTGCAGTGTATACAAAATGAAACTGAATAACAGAATTACTTTTTGCAGAAAGGTGCAGAATGACAAAAAACGAATGCCGTTTCTTTTCATTTAACAAAATGACGTCGTTTTAATGCGCAGTGCATAATCGATTATGCACCACAGTGCATGATATAATTTGCTTTATTGGACTACAATTCCTTCCTTTTTGTGGAATTGTAATTTATATGTCCCTTAATGAATTGTAATTTTGCATCAGATGGAAAAGAAAAATGAATGAAAGTGACAAAATTATCTTTGAAAAATGAATGAAAGTGACAAAATTATCTTTGAAAAATGAATGAAAGTGACAAAATTATCTTTCTTATTATTATTATTATTATTATTATTATTATTTTCCTCTCTAATATTCTCGTTGATGACCTGAATTAATATATTTTGCTATTTGGTTAAAAAAAAAAAAATCCCCTAATAGGGAGGAAGCTCTTAGCCTCATTTGTACAAGTCCCACAATCAGATCCCAACAGAATAGCTCTCCAGAAAGATAGCTTAGCAGGGCCCACCTTTCTCCAAGTCCCTCAATGGTCAATAGGTGCAAAAGTTTTTTTTTTTTTTCAGGAAGATAGTTAGGACCCACCTTTCTCCTAGTCCCTCAATGGTCAATAGGTGCAAAAGTTTTTTTTGTTTGTTTGTTTTTTTTTTTTTTTTTTTTTTTTTTTCAGAAAGATAGCTAGGTCCACCTTGCAAAGGTTTTTTCAAAGCAACCCAACAATATAGACACTCTCAAGCAATTATTTATAAGATGTTCAAATATGTTTTAAATGTTGACTTACACAATCAAATCCCAACAAAATAGACACTCACAAGCAATAACTTACCCAAACAAATTTAGAACTCCACTGAATTCATTCTCCCTAAACTTCATATGCAAATTGCAAGCTAGCTTTGGAAAGCAAATAGGTTGTCGCCCTGACACTTATCCTGTCCAAACCTTTTTTATTTTCTACTTATTGATTACTACGGTATGTTTTTATTTTGAATTTCAATATTTATTTTATATTTATTTCTACTTTTAATTTTATCTTGTTTGTTGTTTGTTGTTTGAGTAACAATATTTTTCATGTTTTTAAAAAAAAAAAAAAAAACACTATTCAAAAAATTATATAAAATATAAAGATTAGAACAAATTTCTAAATATTAAAGGTGATTAATCATTAAAACTTATTTATTATAATGCAATTCTGCAGGGATGGGTCGTTTTTTGAAGGGTGAACACCCCCTGTTAATTAACGCATCAGCAGCTGGAGTAACCGGAAGAAATCTGGTACACTCCCTCTTTTTTATTCAATTTTTTTTTTTTTTTATATAATATGAGTATATGAGAGAGTATATATTAGTCAGCGAACATTATGAGCTTGTTCAGGCAGCTTATTCTTTGTCTGATTGAGTTGTTTGGAACTTGATTCCTCATCCTGTCATTTTAGACAGTTTGAGGCTTAATTTTAATTGATATCTATATGAACTATTTTTTACTAACTAGTATCCCTCTCCCTATAGCAAAAAGATGAACATTGTGCTATAGACATACCAGAAGAAAACCAAAAGCATGATATGGGGATGGGGAAGCACTACATATCCAGGGTACCTGAACCGCTGATTCAAGCCAACCCCAGCGCTTACAAACCGAAGCTGATACCCATAGGCTATTATTTCCGTATACGAGAGCCTGGCACAGAAAACAGTATCAAAAAAGATTTTCAAAAACACTTTTTTGAAAATACAGATGGGCTTGAGGAACAGTGTCGGAAGAAATTGAGAAGCTTTCTGGACAAGGCACGCTCTTGCTACGCTGAGAGCACCCTGCAGGACACAAGTGATGAACTTGTGGAGATGTTTCTGAATGATGGTAGCTTCATTATATTGCTAATACTCTAGTGACAGGTAATGAATTCATGAAAAATGAATGGAAGGTAGCTCAAACCTTGAGTGACATGCTATTGTTTGAGAACCAAATCCCATTTTTTGTCGTGTTCGAACTCCTCAAATTGAAGCGGGATAAAAGTGATGCTGCTACCTTGCTAAAGGAGCTTCTTGAGTTGGTGAAGAACTGTTATATGAATCAAGTGCACAAGTTAACACTTATACATGCACTTCCATCCTGCAAATACAACCCTGAAAATCTGCCTAAACATTTACTTGAAGTGGTGCATAGTTGTTGCATGCCTACTAATATTACCACAACTGATGAAGATTTTACAGGCTTTGTTTCAAAACAAATGAAAACAGCCACAGAGCTTGAACAATATGGGGTTAGCTTCAAGAAAAGTGGCAAGGTACACAGTGTATTCGACATGGATTTCAATAGGGGTATAATGAAAATTCGGTGCTTTAGGATTGATGACTTCACTGAGACATTGTTGAGAAACATGATAGCCTATGAGCAACACTATGATCTTGCAATCAAGTATTTCTCAGATTTTGTTTTGTTCATGAGCCATCTCATTCACACACCAGAAGATGCAAAGTTGGTTTGTGGAAGTGGAATTATTGTCAACTTCCAAGCCACAGGCATGGAGCAATTGTTCTCCGAACTGCGTTTGGGAATCAATACTTCAACCACCTCCACCTTAGCCACCCTGTCAGGAGTGATCAACAATGTGAATCAGTATTGTGAGATGCCATGGAATAACTGGATGAGAATGTTGAGACAAGACCTCGTAAACAGTGCATGGAAACCCATCCTTGCTAATGCGGGTGTCATTTCCATCTCACTTGGTATTGCTGTTTATATTAAAACCCTTGTGAAATAAGGCTATGTTGTATATGTTATTTTTGACTATGTTGTTGGGTTCTATAATTCATTCCCATGTGTTCTATTTGTGAATTTGGCTTCTGTTCTTGTTTTCTACTGTAATTCATTTTTTTTTTCTTTCTAATTTTTGTAAACTACTACTAGAGGGGAAACAAAAAGCAAAACAACCTGTCTTTGCATGTTTGGTTCAAATATATTGAAATTAGAATTGGAAACAAATGCACAAGGGTTAGAATCATAGAATGTTAGAAAAGTAGTAGTAGTATTTCCTCTCTATGTTCCATTTTACCCAACAAACTCTTTCTTTTTTGGTTTATTTTCTTTTATAATTTTAAATTTAATTTTTTTTTTTGTGTGTTTAATAGTCTTTTTAATATAATTCCTAAATACATAAATTTTGTATACTAATGCTGAAAAATTAAATTACAAGTATAAAACAGTTAAAACAAATGCATCTTAAGAAGTCAACAGGTTTATCTCTTCTTCACGTTTTTCTCTCTCCCCCTTCAAATAACAATTGAAAGCCCTAATTTCTATTAGCCATGAATCGAAGATTCCGAACTATAACTTTAAAAAGATAAAATAAAAATCATATAATGAAAAACGAATTTAAAGCATAGAGATATTGAATATGTTACCGGTGAGAATTGAGATGGTATAAAGTGGAAATTTTGTAGGTCAAGGGCATGAAAATAGTGAGAGTGCAGATGTGAAGAAAAGGTCAAACAAAGGCGGCCGCGGAGAAAGTTGGGAGGCGTTTCTGGGTTTCAGCTGTGATCAATTCTACTTAGGCCGTCTCCAAAGAGACGGCATATCACCACCAAATGCTAAAATAGCGCCCAATTTGGCGCTGAACCTCCTCCAATGTAGCGCCAAATTGGGCGCTATTTTGGCGATTTGCTACAGTGCAGCGCCATATTTGGCGCTGCACTGTAGCATTTACGCCAAAATGGTATTGGGCTGCAATCACTTATAGCAAGCTTGTTTAATTATGATAGAATAAGAATTCTATTTCATTGAAAATAGAATGTACTTAACGTTTATAATTTATATATTTTATAATTTATATATTGAATGTTCAAAATTTTACATATTAATGTTCATAATGAAATTGTGAACATTCAATTCAATATATAAATTGTGTATTTAAATCGTGGTCCACTTTGTAAGACGGACTCAGGTTCGTGGTATAACTGCAAATAAAAAAATGATGAAAATGTCAAAATTACCTTTTATTATTATTATTATTATTATTATTATTATTATTATTATTATATGATGCCCTTATTTTTTGGTATATTATTGTGTTGACCATGGTTCACATAGTGTTGTACGGACCATAAAAAAGTACATTTTTATATAACATACTAAAAGTATATTATTTTTGTACTAAATATACATTATTTTATAATATACAGAATATAGTCCACACAATTATTGTAAGTCCGGACAATGTATTATTGGGCATTTGGGCTACAATTACTTTTAGCAAGCTTGGTTAATTATGATAGAAAAATAATGAATGTATTATTGGGCTACAATTCCTTCCTTTTTGTGGAATTGTAATTTATATGTCCCCTTGTAATTTTGCACCAGATGGAAAAGAAAAATGAATGAAAGTGACAAAATTATCATTATTATTATTATTATTATTATTATTATTATTATTATTATTATTATTATTATTATTATTATTATTATTATTATTATTATTATTACTATATAAGAATATTTTGTCTTTATATTATTTTTTCTCTTCTCATTTTCAATAGTTTTATTCATCTTTACTAAACAATGTTATTTGAATTCAAATTTTATTCTTTTCCACTAAGGGTTTGTTTGGAAAGCAGGAAAATGAGTTTTGGAAAATGTTTTTTGGAAAATGAGTCATTTTCCGGAAAACATTTTCCTTTACAGTGTTTGGTTACATTCTGGAAAACTGTTTTTGTATGTTTGGTTCATTTTCTGGAAAATGAGTAGAATTGTATAATTAAACATTTTAATTATTTTATTTAGAATATTACAACATGTATAATAATATATAATAATATAATATTCATTTTAAATATAATAAAAAATAGCTAAATTTTTCAAAAAAAAAAAAAAAAACTAATAATATATCAAAAATATTATGGTGGTGGTGTAGTGGTAGTGGTGTTATTCGTTATATTCTAATAATAATAATAATAATAATAATAATAATAATAATAATAATAATAATAATAATAATAATAATAATAATAATAATAATAATAATAATAATAATAATAATAATTATAATAATTGGTGGTATGACGGTGGTGGCAGTGGTGGTGGTGGTGGTTGTGTGGTGGCGGTGGTATGGTGGTGGTGGTGGTGGTGGCGACAGCGGTGGTTGCGGTGCTATGGTCGTGGTGGTGGCTGCGGCGGCGGTGTGATGGTGGTGGCGATGGTTGCGGTGGTATGGTGGTGGCGGTGGTTGCGGTGGTATGGTGGTGGCGGCGGCGACGGTGATTGCGGTAGTATGGTGGTGGTGGTGGCGGTGGCGGTAGTGGTGTTAGTAGTATGACGGTGGTGGCAGTGGTGGTGTGGTGGCGGTGGTGGTGGTGGCGGCGACGGTGGTTGCGGTGGTATGATGGTGGTGGTGGCGGCGGCGACGGTGGTTGCGGTGGTATGGTGGTGGTGGTGGCGGCGGTAGTTGCGGTGGTATGGTGGTGGCGGCGGTGGTTGCGGTGGTATGGTGGTAGTGGCGGCGGCGGCGGCGGTGGTGTGGTGGCGGTGGGCTGGTGGCTGTGGTTGTGGTGGTATGGTGGTGATGGCGGCGGCGACGGTGGTTGCGGTGGTATGGTGGTGGTGGCGACGACGGTAGTGGTGGTATGGTGGTGGTGGTGGCGGCGGCGGTGGTGTGATGGTGGTGGTGTGATGACGGTGGTATGGTGGTGGTGGTGGTGGTTGCGGTGGTAAGGTGGTGATGGCGGCGACGGTGGTTGCGGTGGTATGGTGGTGGTGGCGGCGGCAATAGTGGTGGTGATGGTGGTATGGTGTTAATGATGTTGGTGGTGGTGTGATGTTGGTGTAAAAGTTGGAAAATGACTTCCCCCTAAAAAAGGTGAAGTCATTTTCCTCCAAAACAAGCATATTTTCCAAAGTCAACGGAAAATGATTTCTGTTGACTTGATTTTCCAAGCACATCCAAACAATGGAAACTTGGAAAATGATTTCCATAACTCATTTTCCAGATTTCCAAAGACACCCTAAATTATATTTTTTTTCCTTAATTCTCGACGCGCTATTACTTTTTCTCTCTTTTTTTTTTCTTTTTACCTAATAAATCGAGTTAATTATTGAAATCGTCCATTAACTATAGTGAAATTATCAATTTAGTTCTTCAAAAATCTTAACCAATTTGGTCCTCCGTTTATTTTGCTGTTAGGGTTCTGTTAACTCGAGACCAAATTGGTAATTTCACTATAGTTAAGAGACCATTTTGGTAATTAGCTCTTGAATTAATTTCACTTTTGGTCCCACGATTTTTAAGGTCTTATCACTTTTGGTGCATAACATTAAACTTTTTCAATTTTGGTGCCTAATTTTGTTATTTTTATTAGTTTTGATCCTTTCAACCAAATTGACGGTGAAATGTTGCCACATTTTATATTTTAGGGACAAAATCGTCATCTCAAGGAAATATCTTCAATATCTAAACAAAAGAAAAATCATATTAAGAGAAAAATAAGAGTGTCAATCGATGACGTTATAAATCCCATAGATCTTTTATGAATAGTTTCTGCCCGTTTTCCCCATTATTCTCATCGACCAAACACATATAGATATGATTTTACAGTGGTTTTGTTTAGATATTGAAGACGTTTTATTGAGATTATAAATTTACCCCGAAAAATTTATAATTCGGTAATATTTTGCTGTCAATTTGGTTGAAATAACCAAAAATTGATAAAAACAACAAAGTTAAACATCAAAATTGAAAATTTCTAAAGTTGTACACCGAAATGGTCCCTTGACTATAACAAAATTATCAATTTGGTCATGAGTTAACGGATATCTAACGGCAAAACTAATAGATGACTAAAGTGGTTAAGATTTTTAAAGTTGAAGGACTTAATTGATAAAATAGTCAAGAACCAAATTGATAATTTTACTATAGTCAAGAAAACATTTCCATAATTAACTCTAATAAATAATAGAGAAAATTACACTTTTGGTCCTATGACTATAAGAGGGTGGTAATTTTAGTTCGTGACTTTTAAAACTACCAATTTAGTCCTTTAACTATGCTTTTTTCACACATTTGGTCATCCCGGCCAAATCACCGGTGGATTTTGACAGGAAAAACACAATCCTTTGTTTATTAAATATTTGGGGGTAAAATGGTCAATTATGTTTGATTCCAAACATCAAACGAACTATGAAGTTTTTGAGATGAAGATTCATAATTGGTTCATCTGAACATTGGTTCATGGTCGTCGTTTGCTTCATTCTTCTTCTGTTGCTCAGCCCTGCATCTAACTCCATTTCCTTCGACTTCAAAAGCTTTGAGCCAAACATGGATGGCATGGTTTTCCAGGGAGATGCGTACCCGGCAAATGGCGCAATCCAGGTGACGAGGAATCAGTGCGATGGCAACCTTACAAGAAGCGTAGGCCGCGCATCGTACGCGCTGCCTGTACGCATTTGGGACCGAAAATCACGGGAGCTGTCGGATTTCACTACCCATTTCTCCTTCATCATCAACGCGCCTAATTCGTCATCGTATGGCGACGGGCTGGCCTTCTTCCTTGCACCGTTCCACGCCGGAATCCCTCCCGATTCCTCTGCGGGATACCTTGGTCTGTTTAGGAACACAACCCAAAGTCCTGTTCCGATCCAGCCAAGAACCAAATTGTGGTGGTTGAATTCGAACGTTTGAGGATGTCTGGGATCCTAGTTTCGACTACGTTGGCATAGATATCAATTCTATAGAGTCTGTAAAACATGTAAATTGGAGAAACAGTATCAAGACCGGGGTCGTGGCAAATGCCTGGGTGACATAAAATCCAGCATTTTCTCCATTTTTTCTCAAACATAATTCACCATTTTACCCCTCAAATATTTAATAAACAAAGGATTGTGTTTTTTCTGCTAAAATCTAACTGTGATTTGGTCGAGATGACCAAATGTGTAAAGAAAAAACATAGTTAAAAGATTAAATTGATAATTTTAAAAATCACGAACTAAAATTACCACCCTTCCTATAGTCATAGAACTAAAAGTGTAATTTTCTCTAAATCATATACATATAACACAAATTATACTCCATACATTTACCATTTCCAACAAATTGGGGAACAAACGTATATGAGAAGAAACACCGCCGACTTTGGGATATCGCCGTACAGTTTTTTTTTTGACGCATGTTACGCGGCGTAATGAGTCATCATTATGATTCTTGATGTATAATCCGTAATGTTCCTTTTTTCTTTCTTTTTTTGGATACATTTTATTGAAAAGTGAATATGGGAATGATTTTTTTTTTTTAAAGGAAAGTTCATCAAACTTTATTAAATCAAGGAATAAGAGTCAAATGGGCCATCAAACTACGCACCAAAATGCAATTAGGTCACCAAACTCAAAAAAACTACAATTAGGTCCCTCAACTACACAAATTAATGCAATTTCACCAAAAATAACTTGTTTACCTGTTGTATTGGTTACAGAATTAAAAATAATTTTTAATCTTTTATTTTAATAATTTTAAATAATAAATTATTACCAAAAAAAAAAAAAAAACTGTCGGAGACGAAGAGCTTCGTCTCCTGGCTGGCCGGAGACGAAGGGCTCCCTTCGTCTCGTGGCTGGCCGGAGACGAAGAGCTCCCTTCATCTCGTGGCTGGCCGGAGACGAAGGGCCCACTTCGTCTCCGGCCAGCCACGAGACGGAGGGAGCCCCGTCTCCGGCCAGCTAGGAGACGAAGGGAGCCCTTCGTCTCCGGCTCATTCTTCTTCTTCTTCTTCTTCTTCTTTTTTTTAATAAATTTTTATTTAAAATTATTAAAATAAAAGTTAAAAAATTTATTTTTTTCATTTGGTAACCGACACGTCAGCGTATCAACAGGTAAACAAGTCATTTTTGATAAAATTGCATGAATTTGTGTAGTTCAGGGACCTAATTGTAGCTTTTTTCAGTTGGGTGGCCTAATTGCATGTTGGTGTGCAGTTGGATGGCCTATTTTACCCTTATTCCTTAAATCAAAGAAGCAATACAAGAAGGAATAGTATCAAACCAAATAGAGGAACCAGTACTAGAACGAGCTGCCCTTGCCAAGACAATATGGGAATGATATTTGAGAAGAAATAATTTTTCAGTAAATCTTCATATTGTTAAAAATAATATTATAACAATGTGACAATAAGTTTTTCTAAAAAATTAGTATTGCCCTATCAACAAAATATTTTTAAATAAAAGTATTATATTAATAAAAATATTATTTTTTTTCTTATAAAATTATTATATATATCGTGTCATTTCTTTCATACATATGTGTCTACTGTGATACTAATTAAAAGAAAAAAAAATGTCTAAATTATTTTAATAATTGACTATCGTGACCAACCTCATTATGAGGGAAGTCTACAAAAATGCGCTAATGGCACGTCAGCTAATAAATACTATGTCATATTATTTTTGAGTGACGAGAAAAATTTATAATTACTATTTGATGGTATGTGTTATATAAATCTCACTCATGTATAATAATACACACATTACTTTGGAAAGGTCAATCGTTAGGCGTGAGCCCGATCAAGAAATAGTTAACAAAAATTGAATTTGTACGTAAAATTCAAGTACAAAAATTATGTTCACCCACGTAATCTTTGCCCCCTTTTGTGACAACTATACTATCTTTTTTTTTTTTTTTTTTGGGGTAGTGAATGGAACGTGACTTTATTATTCATATAAATGCTTGAAGATGTGATAGGTCCACCTGAATAGAATACAATTTGAAACTTTATTATTCAAATTGGACAAGAAGATTAACATATGTTATATATGGAATTTTTTTTATGGAAGTCTACACACAGTCACACACTATCTGTGAGTGTACATATACGGGATAAACTCTATTTTTGTATGATATACTGTAAATTACACATGAAAGGTTATTAATCACACTAATAAGAATGCTTTGTTTTACGGTTCAGTCAAGAAAAATATTAGAAGATTGCAACACGTATATTATGGAAATTTGTTCTATAACTTCCTAATTTGCAAAACATGATCAGAAAAATATTGGAAGATTTGATCCTTGTGCGCAGTAAGCAAATGTCTAGTCTCTATGGTTCAGCTGAGTTACCATGATTTACATCTCTTAGATGCTCTATCTAGCCGGGGTATGTGGGCCGGCGCCTTTGGGGTTGGGAGTTCAACATTTTGGGAAGAAAATATATAATGCTAAATAATAAAGTACTTTGTGTGTAGGAAGAAATGTGGTCCAAATTGTATACATGCATAAACTTTTGGATTACTTGTAAAGATCTTGAAGAAAATTTTGAGAATAGTCAAACAACACTAACATGAAAAATGTATAAGATGCATATATGTCATTTTGAAATTTATAATCCGGTAATATTTTGCCGTCAATTTGGTTGAAATAATTGATAAAAATAACAAAGTTAAACATCAAAATTGAAAATTTCTAAAGTTGTACACCGAAATGGTCCCTTGACTATAACAAAATTATCAATTTGGTCATGAGTTAACGGATATCTAACTACAAAACTAACAGATGACTAAACTGGTACCCGGGTTGGACTTCCATTTGGAAGATTATGAGTTCAAGCCTCTGTGGAGGCGTTATTGGTTCTTTGTGTTTCAGTAGGTTGAGAAAGTATATGAACAGATACTACAATGTAATAGAGCCGGTAACTTTCAAAAAAAAAAAATTGATTAAAAATAATCAAGGACCAAATTTTCCATAATTAACTCTAATAAATCATATACATGTAACACAAATTATACTCCATACATTTACCATTTCCAACAAATTGGGGAACAAAGGTATATGAGAAGAAACACCGCCGACTTTGGGATAACGCCGTACAGTTTCTTTTTTTTACGCATGTTACGCGGCGTAATGAGTCATCATTATGATTCTTGATGTATAATCCGTAATATTCCTTTTTTCTTTCTTTTTTGGATACATTTTATTGAAAAGTGAAGATGGGAATGCTATTTGAGAAGAAATAATTTTTCAGTAAATCTTCATATTGTTAAAAATAATATTTAACAATATGACAATAAGAGTTTTCCTGAAAATTTAGTATTGCCTTTTCGACAAAATATTTTAAAATAAAATTAAAAGTATTATATTAATAAAACTATTATGTTTTATTACAAACATTACTACACATCTCACCTCATTTCTTTCACACCTATGTATCTAGTGTGATAATAAATAAAAGAAGAAAAAATCTTTATTTTAATTGAATATCGTGGCCGACCTCACTTTGAGGAAAGTCTACAAATTAAAAATACGATAATGACACATCGAGTAATAAATACCCCCGTAAGCTGGCGCGTGTAGATCCTACATGCCCAGCTTAGATACAAAAAAAAATGAGATGGAGAATCAGTACACAAAGTGTCAGTGCTGTGTCCCTAGACTTATTGCACACTCTGATATTGGCTCCAGAGAATACAAGCATCCGGAAGGTATCAACATGGCCTTCCCTTGCAGCAACAATCATAACAGCAGAGAAACCATTCTCATCTTGATTATCAAGATTGATCCCTTGCTCAATGAGAGCTTTTAGTGTAGAAACATCTCCAGATTGAGAGACAAACAGTAAAAAAAACCATAGCAACTCTTCCACATACTTCAAGCCATACTTGCCATGGCAACTCTTCATCCTTCTTGAAATTTGATGCTAGCCAATCAACAATTCTCTTATCAGAATCATCACCACCAACATATGCAATATCAACAGGAGTAAATAGTCCAGATTCCCCAACAACAATTATGCCCTTCTCACGGATCTTTTCCCCACGTTCTCCTTGAAGGAGTTTCTTTGTGTTGCTAATATCAACTTTGAAAGTTCCTAGGTCTTTGTTATTGATGCCAACCAGTTCAACCACATCTATTCCAAGCACACGATCCATCTCCCTCTCATCATGTACCTCAACAAGTGCAGTCATCCCAAGCAATTTGCAGATCTTAATCATATATTTTATATCAAGATTAGGTAAAACAGCGGAAATCAAAAGAACTGCATTAGCCCCTTTGGTTCGAGCATAGTAATTTGCCATGCGTCTATAATAAATTCTTTGCACAACAAAGGACATGTCACTCCAGCATTCCTTATAGCCTCAAGGTTTTCGAAGCTTCCCTTAAAATACTTCTCATAAGTCAAAACACTAAGGCATGCTGCTCACCTTTCTCATAAGCTTTGGCAATTTCAACAGGATCAAAATCTTCTCTTAATATCTCTCTGCTTGGAGAAGCCTTCTTCACTTCAGCAATCAAGCCAAGCAATCCAGTTCTAAAATAAGATGCCTTAAGAGCACCAACTCCACCTTGCCCTTCAACCATTGAGAGTCCACTTCCCCATTGGAGTACATTAGACAAATAATTTCCAGTGCTTAAAGGGATAATTGCAACTGCTCGAACAACTCGGAGCTTTATTGTGGAAAATTCCAGCCCCAAAGAAAAAAGAAGCAAAATCACACCAAACTGAGCAACAGTCTCTACTTGCACAATTTCACTAACAACATTAAACCCTCCAGGTCCAACAATGGATCCTGCTAGTAAGTATCCAGTCATGATTGGCTGTCCAGCACAAGCAAAAGCAATTCCACCACAAGTTGCAGTAACAATGACAACTACCAGATCTGATATCAACCTCAAGTCCAATTGTAACACTGGATACTTTG